CTTTTGGGTCACAGGGCAAATGTGAATTTCAGGGAAATACGAAAAATAAGTTGGCTAGGATGAATTTTAGTCGTTAATTGATGCTGCCATTTTAGATATGTAAACAAGTTGGACTTCGAAGAATCCCTTAATACTCATTTTAGCGTACCTTTCATTTCATTTTAAAATGCAGGTGAAATTTTAAATTTGCCTTGATAGATTCCGGATTTTTAACTGGCGAATTTTGTAAATGAGGCCTTTCTTAGTTTGATTTCATGTTTTATGGATAGGTCTTTAGAGACTGACAATATATCTGATATAAGGGCTGCGCTCACCATATTTCGTTTAAGGTGGTGAAGGATTGGTAATTAAGTTTTGCGACAGTTGCACTTAAGTTTTGCATAATCTTGCTTTCTAAAAGATATTATCATTCGAGGTGGACTGCATCTTCGGCCTCGTCTAGGTCTCATCAGTACCCCCAGCAGGGCTCGAACTGTGACAGTAGAGCACATAATTTCGACATAACCACTACACCGCACTGCCACAAGTGCTTTTGATTCACAAGCCGGTTGTTACTTTTAAGGAAGGCCGGGCATTTTCCCACACGACATTCTGTGGTGAGATTTTTGATTATGCAGGGTCGCATTTGCTATAGCAATCGACTAAATTACCTATTCCTCATTTCTCGAAATTCACATTTGCCCTATGACCCAAGAGCATTCGGGACAGTCTGGCGTGGTAATTAACGTGTCAAGATTATGTGCTACGCTATCCGGTTTCGGGTCCTGCTGAAGGTACGGATGAGACCTAAGCGAGGTAGAAACTGTAGTCCATTCTGAATGAGAATGCCCTTTGGCGAGCAGGGCTATATGAAATGCAATGGAAATTTTCGGCCTACTTATAGCATTGTGGGGAAATTAAATTACCCTAAACGAAATAGGATTGACATTCTTTCCTGTCAGTCATTGATAACCAAACTGCTTACCACGAATTGTAGAGATAGTTTGTACTTAGCATATGTTGTTCACGGAGATTGCTACTAAAAACAAGCCTTAACTTCTTTTTGATTTGTTGTGACTTAAGTATTCGTATTGTTTAATTTCTAACATGTAGCTTTAACTGGATTATGCTCATCACTTCTTTACTGAAGTTAATTTTTGTCACTCCTCCGGCTTTGGTGCATACTCCGCTCACACTTCACGTCGACAGGGTCCACCAGGAACCGGCAAGACTCTATTAGCCAAGGCAACGGCGGGCGAGGCCAACGTCCCCTTCCTCTCGATTTCTGGCTCAGAGTTTCTGGAGATGTTTGTTGGCATCGGGCCGAAACGTGTACGCGAGATGTTTGCCCAGGCGCGTCAAAATGCACCTTGCATCCTTTTTATAGATGAGATCGACGCAATTGGCGGTGCACGTGGTGGTACCTCGATCGGTGGTCACTCCGAACGCGAAAATACTCTTAATCAGCTTCTGGTCGAGATGGATGGTAGGCTCTTTGTGCCATTCGGCATTCGTGATTATTCATATCCACCATTTCTCATGTTATCGCAATACATACAAGCTACCTGGAAAAAAATTAGATCGTTTTTTTCTTTGTTTCATTGCGTATCATTCCTTTGAGTATCTCTTAACTTATAAAAAAATACATTATTTTTCTGTATTCATCTATTTCTAATATCTCAATATACCAAGCAACAAAGAAATGAGAAAGCTTTCCAATCTTGTAACGAGTTTACAATTTCATGTCCTCATTTTCAAATGTCTATCTACTTATATCTCTTTTCGCAGCCTGGAATACATTTCATCTGAAGATCTTCATAAATACGCTTGTATATACTAAGGCTAGCTATATAAATATATACTAAAGCATGGGTTGCTCTTAAAGGATGCAGCTGGTATTCTGAACTCATATAGGCTACGCTTCCCATCACCTTATATGTGACTATGGAATCCTGTGATACACATTCGCTTTACCTCAGCCAAATTTAGTTCTGGATGCATTTGATCTTCCTTTAATCTTTGTTTTATTCATAAAGCTCTTTATTAAAATCTGCCAAACTATGTATTTATTTTCAAGCAGTATGATGTCGGCACAATGGCTTAGTAC